GCAAAACCACAATGAGGTGTCACCTCACACCTATCAGAATGGCTATCATCAAAAAGACCACAAATAACAAATGTTGGCGAAGATGTGGAAAAAAAGGAAACACTTCTACACTGTTGGTGGGCATGTAAATTGGTGCAGCCACTGTGGAAAACAGTATGGAGGTTCCTTAAAAACCTAAAAATAGAACTACCATATGATCCAGCAATTTCACTTCCAGATATTTACCTGAAGAAAACCAAAACGCTAATTCAAAAAGATAAATGCACCCCTGTATTCACTGTAGCATTATTAACAATAGCCTAGACTTGGAAGCAGCCTAAGTGCACATGTACATACAAATCATGACTCTATTCCACATCTATGCAACATGAAATAAACTAGTAAGATAAACCATAAGAGATAAGCAACAAAATGTTAGAAATGGTATATTATTTTGTACTCAAATGTGCTTTTAATTCTTAAAGTAGTAATTGTGTCTCTACTAATTCCAAGCTTTGGCTTGGCAACCTGGGATAAATAAAGATGTATAGTTAGTTATTACTGAAATGTCTTTAAACTCTGGTACATGTACATGTATATATATAATCAAAATGTTCCAAGAAAATTAATCTGGTAACTTAACGATATGTATAATTTTGCATTTGCTGTTCCCTCTGCCTGGAACAGTCTTCCCTTTAGTTCTCTACATTGCTGATTCTTTATCACCATTCAAACTCACCTCTTCAGAGAAGCGTATCCTAATCATCCCACCTAAAGTAGCCCCTCTTCAGTCCCTCTATAAATATGTTATTATCCTGTTTGTTTCCTTCAAAGCAATTACCACAATTTGTAGTTATCTGGTAATTATTTACTCTTTTATTTATCAGTTGTGTACCTCTTCCCAGTGGACCAGAACCTTGTCTATCTACTTACTGCCATATCTCCACATTTATTGAGTGTCACTCAATAAGGATTTCAGAATGAAAGACTCTTATATAGTATTTAGAATTTTTATTTTATTATTTTTAATTTTTTTTTATTTTTGGCTGCGTTGGGTCTTAGTTGCACACGGGATCTTCATTGCGGCATGTGGGATTCTCTCTAGTTGTGGCGTGCAGCCTCCAGAGCACATGGGCTCTATAGTTTGCAGCACACGGGGGGCTTTCTAGGTGAGGTACATGGGCTCAGTAGTTGTGTTGTGTGGGCTTAGCTGCCCTGCAGCATGTGGGATCTTAGTTCCCCGACCAGGGATCAAACCTGCGTCCCCTGCATTGGAAAGCGTATTCTTTACCACTGGACCACCTGGGAAGTTCCAATATTTAGAAATTTTAAAACAGGCATTTCTCACAGACCTTTAAAACTAAAAAATCAGACTGTGGAGCTGTTATAATCTGGTTCTCTTTTCTTACAAACCTAATAGAAAACTGAGGTTCAGTGCTCCCCCCAAAATCCTTTTAGGATTACAAGTTTGGAATGGAGCCAGGACAAGTCTTTCATTTCCCTGTCTACCAATTCCGAGAGCTTTCCCAACCAAGCTGCCAATTCTTCTAGTCTTACTTTATTAGTCCTACAGGATGTATAAACAGTGTTGAACACAAATGAAAATTGTTTGCTTCTTTTCCCATAAACTGCCTTTTTTTCCCATATAATGGAGAAATCACATGCTAAAGAGGTCGACTTTTATGTCATGTGCAGAAGAAGAGATGAAATCCCATTACAATCCAATCCTGTTCCACAGCATGGCCTATGAGCCTCACTTCTCCTGCAGACCTGGTCAGAGAAGCCACCATATTCACTACATAAAGTCATAAATTTGAAACAGGAAGTAAATAAGTCCCATATACACTGACATTTCACACATCAAAAAAACTAATACATAGTTCAGCAGCTATGCCTATTTTCCTCAAACAGGTCAAATTTAAACTCAAGTGACCAAGGAAAAAATCCTACAAATAGAGGAGGGTCACATAACCAAGTACCATTATAGTCACAAGTCACAAATCCACTGGAAACTCTGAGAGAAGGACATCGTTTACTGATCTGGAATCAGACCTATTTGGCTCACAGGTAGCAAGTAACTAAGCCACCACATCTGATGATAAAACATTTCTGCCAAAAGGAAAGGTGGTCGTATTAAACAACCATTTTCTACCCTCCTGGAATAGCTGAGTACTTTATGGTGCCTAGGACAAGGTTCATCCCTCCAAGCAACTGCCCTCCACTACTCAGAGTTCCTGGGCTTGAAGTCATGGCTCAAAATTCACCTCATCAGAATCCATGGACAGATTAACACAAGTCACTCTCTAACCCTGCAACACAGTGGCTGACTGTTCTCTGAGCCAGAACATTTTTGTTATTTCAAAGTTAGCTGTTTCTTCATGTGTAATTGTTCATCTAGCCTATCTTTTCAAATGTAAAGTGACTGAGGGCAGGACCTTCTGGTTTGTAACACAAGCCCTAGCACTACTCTCTATTTTCCAACTGAACTGAGATGAAAACGATGCAATAAAATTCATACTGTGCAGAATACGTTCTACTGTGGTCAAATTTATCAGTCACAAAAATGAAGCCCCAAATTACTGGTGCTTGTGTAACCCCAGCAAAACTATCTGTGTGCATTCATGCCATAATGCTATTAATTCTTTACCTTTATAAAAGAACATGAGATTAGTTTTAAAATTAAGCAAGATGACAGTACTCAAATAATACAAATCCAGAAATGGAAAAATTATTAATCCTATTAGTTACGAAGTTTACAATATTTACTCAAGCATAAGACAAATTAGGATTCAGTGGATAATATTATGGTATTAAGATTTGTGCCACTTTGTCTTTGAAGTGATATCTGCCTTTAATTTTTCTATCAATGTGTAATGCATAACAAATAAATTTTATGTATATAATTTTTAAAAAAAGATTTGTGCCAAATGTGCATATAAAGCAATATGAGGAAATAGGTAAATAGCTAACTATTTTATCTATATCCAATAGGTATACATAAAATAGTGCCCTACTTAGTTCCCAAAGACGTCCAATAAAAACTAAAGCAGACACAGATAACTGCAATCCTATCTACTTCAAATTTCTAAAAACCCATTTGGTTACACATTCCAAATAGTCATGAGACTCAAACAGCATGCATTGTCAACAACTGCATGGCTAGACCAGTCAGACAACTTTTTAAGTAGTCAAAGTGAAGCTACATGTTCAATGCTTTGTAGTAAAGTCAGTGGTATCCCTACTCCTAAACAAGAAGTGTTTTTTATTAAGTTGTTGTTTCTATCCTTAACATAAATTAATAAAAACTTATGTTCTAAGTAGTATTTAATATAACCTAATGCTCTGAAAAGATTTCCACTCACACATTACTAGCACATGGGTTTCAAGTATACTGATTACATGTAATTACATTACATTATTGATTACAATATGAAACCACCTCATATTTCATTCAAGCAGCTGCTGAGAGGAATTTAGACAGAAGCTTGAAAGAAGTTATTTGTAATTTAGACACTTAAAATTGTATTTTAAAAATTAACACAATCTTGAACTCACTAAGTGAATTAATTTTGTTAAAACAAAATTCTCTTTAATACTTGCACTAATGTGCAGAGTATAGGAAATGCTGACAATGCCAGGCACATGGTATATACTCAGAAACTTTTTGCTAAAATGACCTTCACCTAGAGTGGGCTCACAATTATCTAGGGGCTTTCGTCTGAGCAAGGAGGTAATAAGATCACACTGTGTATGTAAGTATCATGTACTGTGTATATGTAAGTCAAACCATGTGTGGCTACCACAGTGACCAGTTTCTGCAGTGTTCATTCTATTGCTTCTTCAGCTCTACCAAAAGATAGTAAGAGTGAGTGAACAGACCTTCCAAGACTTGTGTATGACATATATCAATAAAGGTTGTGTGTGTGTTTGGCATTTTCTCAGGTATGAAAAATAATTTGACTAATATAAGTAAGCATCTCCATTGAACAACCAATTAATGTAGAGGCAGAAGGAAGGTTGAGAGAAAATGAAACAATTTTAGGGAATGTGAATCCAGCAGGGAATTGTAAAATGTCTACCTTTTCCCATCATTCCCATCTTGCAAATCACTTACCCAAATCAGACTGTCAAGATTACAGATCTTGCCTGAGAATTTTTAAATCCCTACATGATTTCTTCTCTGAAAATAAATTCATTAACATAAATTAACCAGAACCATGCTTTTTTTGGTTTCTGACATGGTTAAATTGTGATCAGACAATTAAACATTTTAATGAAAATAGGGAAATGCAAAATTATTCCATAACTAGTATATGAAGGTATTTTTAGTCTTTATAAAAATTAGTATGGAAATTAATGTAACACATGTAAACAAGGTATTTAATTTTACTAAAGTGATTTATTTTGACAATAGTTCAAATTGAACTTTTATTAGAAGGTCAATAATACATACTTATATTTATATATTAAATATTTATATGTAAAATATACATATACTCAAAAAATGTCCCCACACTCAAAATGACAACTATGTCAAGTATATCTGACTTAAATAAAAGAAATTACAAAAATAAAAAGAGTAATTATTTGAGGACAGTGGCATTATGGCAGTATTTTCTTCATTCTTTTATAACATTATTATATTGCTTTTTTTTTTTTTTTTTCTTGCGTTATGCGGGCCTCTCACTGTTGTGGCCTCTCCCATTTGCGGAGCACAGGCTCCAGACGCGCAGGCTCAGCGGCCATGGCTCACGGGCCCAGCCGCTCCGCGGCATGTGGGATCTTCCCGAAACGGGGCACGAACCCGCGTCTCCTGCATCGGCAGGCGGACTCTCAAGCACTGCGCCACCAGGGAAGCCCTATTATATTGCTTTTAAAATTAAAATATATTTATTTTGGTTTAGTTATACATATTAACCCACTTCATCATTTAGAGACATTAAATAATACTAAAAGAATATAATTTATAAGTAAAACTATTATGTAGTTTTAAAATTCATTTATGTATAAAATCCACATACCTGAGCCAACTTCTTTTTCCTCTTCTTCAATGTTGTTTTTGATGCTATCATACTCCTCATCAATGGTCTGGTTACCACGCATCTGAGATAAAATTCTACGGGCCTTCTGAGTCTGTCCTTTCTGAATAAGCCATCGAGGGCTTTCAGGTAAAAAGAGAAAGCCAAAAAACTGTATAACTGCTGGAATTGCTGCAAGTCCCAGCATGTACCTGTAATAAGAAATCAATACATTGTTGTAAAATGTGGTCTTATTAGCATTGAGTATGAATAAAAGGTTTGTGTTCACCACATTAGGAATAACATATAATGGTAAAAATTAGAATGATTTTCTTTTCATCATATGTGCATGTGTGTGTCACCAGAAAAGATATTTTTATATTGTAGTGGAAAATTGAAAACTGAGAAAAATCTGATTCTTCTTTATCTCTCCCACAAATTACAATGAAATAGAACGGACAAAAGTCACGATCATTTTGGATAGGCATTCTGAACCAAACACAACATGCAAAACACCAAAATCACCATTCCTATCTAATACTAATATAATATAATTCTGTAATTTACCACATAAAAATGGGGCTAAGACAAAACTCTCTGATATCTGTTTAAAAGATATACTTTTCATTAAAATAAATGCCCTTATTTATTACTTTACAGTTATTTCTTCTCTGTAAATGATTAGTTATGATTTCATTTTGCCATCAAGCATCATTTCTTTTTAGACAAAAAAGCACTTTACTTAAAAAATGGGGGGGGGGGGGGAGGGAAACTTAGGAAAGCACATAGCAGCCGATAGCAGAAAAAAGATGAAGTCAGATGTTAATAATCATTATTAAAATGACTAGAAATATGAAAAAGCTGCTAATGTTTTAAGTTGTCATCTTCTTCAAATGTCTATTCTTAATAACTGACAAAATTCTAAATAACAAATAAGCATACCACTTTAAATCTACCAGAGAAACAACATAAATAGCAATATGAGTATATCAGTATCAAAGATCTCTCCAAATTATTCTGACCACTGGACTAATCTCCTAATACCTCTAGGCCTCAATCTTTTTAAACTGAGTTAGATTACATAAACTTCAAGGTCTCTTTAAATTGGTGGCTTCTATGAATCTAGGACACCTGGATGTTTTCTATTGATCCAAGTTCCCAGAATATTTTCCATGGTAGATTTATGGTGGTAGAGCTCAGAAGGCCAGTCCTGATTACATAACAACCCATACTCACTGGTATTCATAAATCAAGACTCAATACACTTTTCAAAGCTGTTCTAACTTTTAAGCCATGCTAAACCAAAAGTATAGCAGTCCTGAAGACACATATCTTGTGAATAAGTCTATTATTTTCCAGGCAATTTCATTTTACTTCCAAAAAGAGTAGGAAAACAAAACACAATTGCTACATGGATGTTAAGAGTACCTCCTACTCAAACAGTAGCTATAAATACACTCAGAAAAATTTACTAAGATTTAGAAAGTGAACAAAGTGTTTATGAATGACTAAATGAATCACTTGGCCTACAATATTAAAGGAAACCTTATTAGACATGTTTTATACTTTAATCCATAAGTATTGATAATTACACCAATACTTAATCACTCCTTCCTCTGCTCACCTAGAAAACATTTTTAACCTCTATTTATGTCATTATACCTTGTATTATAATAAATTATTTACCTATTTCACTTGACTGCATATTTAACTTTATATTCAGCATAGCACCTTATAAAGTATCTTGCACAGTAGGCATTTAGTAAATGTTTTATGAAATGATACAAAAACAGCTATATATATCGAAACTGTCTATATAAACAGAAAACTGTTTCACACTCATAGTAACATTTTATGCAGCAACTCTACTGGAACATTTAGCTCTGCAAAGTTACTTACACAGAAATTCCTTCCAATGAAACTATTTGTTACTCTAGATATAACCAGACCTTTTCTTCTGTTTGTTACTCTAGATATGACCAGACCTTTGCTTCTGAAGACTCATCTGATGAGAACGAGAGAGATCAGCTCACACAAATGCATATTTCTGGCGTCTTTCCCTTAAGATGTTAACTTGTATAACCAAATCTTAATGTGTGTTTTAATGCTGTAAATGAATGAAATTTCTATTCAGTGTGTTCTCTCTTAAAAAATTTAAGAAAAAAGGTTATCCTACATTGCCAATTATTTAAAAGAAAAGCAATAAAAAGGTAGAAACCAAATATATTGGATTAGGAAATAAATAAGAAAAGTACTAAAGATGAAAGCCTTTACTTTTCATTTCTCTATACCTTTCTTGATCTTTCCTTCGGTTTTCCAAACCCCCTTAGTGATGAATTAAGATTAAAGGGGTGCACTGAATACTTCAAAGAAGCAATGAAATGAATACAGAAACTGAATCATTTTTAGACCCGAAGATGCTCACATAATACTTTGCACTTTACTACTCACTATTTAATCCCTGAACATAGTATTTTTAAAAAATTAAAAGAAAAAAGAAAAGGGAAGAAAAGGGAAAATACAAAAAGAAAAATATAAAGATACATATTAGCCTGTTTTTTTAAGCAAGCTGTAGAAGACAGACTACTTTAGCCCTCCAGCCTTCTGAAATCTCTAAGTCCCAAGAGTCTAGGTCTGACATTTAAAATTCAATGCCTTAATACTAGGGTAGGAAAAAGGAACTCAGACTCTATTGCCAAACTTTAAGGATATAATAAAGCCTGTTTTCAGAGACTAGTCAAGATAAAACATGTTTTATACATTTACATCCTAAGATTTCTAAAAGTAAAACAAAGGAGCTTATTTTACTATATTTTAATTATATTTCATGATAAAAAATATTTTGATAGAAATAAATTACCATGGCTTTGTAGAGACCAAATACACAAGAGATCAGGTAACTGTGGTTTATGATGGAGAGAGGGTAGGAGCAGACCTGGGTCATACTTCACCTCTGGATACATTAACCACAAAACCCTGATCAAGTTACGTAACATTTTAATGCACAGATGACAGTGTCCATTTCATTGAGCTGTTGGGAGAATTAAGTGAAATCATTCTTTCGGTACCTAAGCACAAAGAGAAAGCTCAGCAAAAAATGTTTTTACCTCCCTGACCTTCTCCCCTCTCAACTAAATCAATGCAACTTTTCTATTCCAGCTATATCATCCACCCAAATTTTTAGTAGGCAGCAGTGACCAGTTTCTTTCTTGAGGAAAAACTGTTCCTCCAATGATATGCATACTGGAGAATAAGAAGAATAAATAAGAGTTTGCTTTGCTGTGATACTGATGAAAATTTTAACATGAGACTAAGAGAGGAGGAACTCTATACTAGTTAAGGCACTATTAGATTTACCAAGAGTCCTCTAAATCCAAGGAAACCAGGAACCAGATGAATGACAAGAGTACACTGACAAACCAGGCAGGCAATCCCCAAACAGACAAGCAGCCCCCTATTGACATGGGGGATCTCATAATTATAAGCCAAATCAAGGGTTCTAAACCCTGGCTGCACATTAGAATCACCCAGGCGGCTTTTAAAACACACCAGTGTCCAGGGCCCACCTACTCCAGGGATTTTGACTAATTGCTCTGGGCTTCAAGCTCAGGGAATTCTATTTTCTTAAAAGCTCCCCAGGTGCCATCAAGGCTGAGAACCACTGATCTAAGTGTTTTAAAACTCCAGGGGGTGAAAGTGAACAATAAGCACCCAAGGTCCACCTTAAAGCAAACGCCATTTACCTTCTGGAGGCCAGATAGCACATCAAGCTGACAGAAGGGGAAATGAGGTTGACTCAATCAAAAATGCCAAGGCTTCATGAGTTCTAAAAATTTTTAGAATATTCTTTAGCATCATGATCATTCACAGAAAGATACCTTTTAAAACTTTCTAACCTGAAGTTAACAAATGAGCTACTTTCTGGTACAACTAGCAGTACCAGCACCTGCCTACCAGAAAACTAAGGAGGGGACCTCAAATAGTAAGCAATATTTTCAAATTGTGTGTTTGGGCCACCTATCAACAAAGGAGACAAGTGGGGCTTCTTCACCTCAGATTAGGCCTTCCCAGTGTCAGGAACTGAAACTCTGTAAACCAAACATCCCTCATTCCTGGGTGCCTACCCTCCCCACTGTAGCTGAGCAGACCTGCAGAGCTGCTGCCATCAGATGGCCTGTGCCTCACACAAAACCAAACAAGTCCTTCATTGAACTGAACAATTTACAATCATTCTTGTTTTAAAGGAATCATATTGCTCTAACCTATGAAACAAAAGACAAGTATCTTTGAATAGATGGCCATTTAAGACACAGAATTTTGCAGTTCATAATTGCCCCTCTCTGAACTGATAACATGGTTATCTGAAAATACAGTCAACAGATAAACATGTTTCTTATCTCTAGTAGTTCCACAGCAGTGATGATTATGTTCCAAATACCTGAAAATCTACTTGAAGGTCAAACTCAGCTTGAACAGCAAAAGTAATAGCTAACACATAGCACTAGTTACTATGTGCCAAGCACTGTTCAAAAGAATTAAAATACCTTAACTCATTAATCTTCGCAACATCCCTATGAGATAGGTACCGTTATTATTACCATTTTAAAGACAAAGAAATGAGGCACAAAGAGGATACAGAACTAACATGCGGTGGAACTAGGATTAAAACCCAGGCTCCCTATAATAAATGTTTATTGTAAGTCAAGCTATAATAAATGTTTCATGATTACTTGATAATTATTCTGCAGAACTCATAAAAGGGGGCATAAATTTACCTCAGCCTCATGTTTAAGGATCGCTTTAGAAAGTCTGTTGTTCACACATCTCTGTGAAATGCAGTAAAACCCTGTGGCAATAACAGGGGAAAGGGCTGCTGGGTGCAGTCCCTCCCAATCTTGCCAAACCCTGCATAGCACCTGACACTTAGCACCCACTGGGCTAGGGAACTGCAAACTGGATTTAATAACACGGACCCACTCGTGGCAAATGGGATATTCTCTTACCCTCAACACCAGAGTGCTTTTATGAAAACAGCTGACTATTAGTTAAAAGAAAATATATCATTTGTAAGGGTAAACTTGTGGTGCTCACTTTGAACACTGTGCCAAAATGAATTTTGATTTCATTTTTCTTTAACATACACTGGTAAACTTTTCATATGGGAAAAGTTCAGATAATAACACAATAGATAGTTTAAAAGATGTTTGAGGGC